TTTCACCACTCAGCTGCAAGTAAAAAATCAATACTTTAATAGCTAAGAATTGTCAAATTTCAATAATTGTAAAAAAATTAACTTCCATCTTACCTGGAGCTAATGTCGACCTTTGTCTAATTGTGGCTCTTAAACCAAAGAGACCTATAACACCCTTATAGTGTACCAACTGTATTGAAATCCTGTCTTCCACATCATCACTTTCACATACGACTTTGTACTTGCTTGAATTTGAATTGAAAACTTTCTCAATTGATTCCTTCACTACCCCATTGCGACATATATGTAACCCATTGCGGGTTTTCTTTCGTTATCAACCATTCTTAGCACATCTACAAGAGGCGCAATGACCTTAAGATGGGTGTGATAAAGAAGCGAGGGCAAGATGTGTACAATATATTGCTCGTTTTGTTTATAATTGTGGAGTTGCTTTTAACGTAACCAATGCAAAACCAGTTACGTAAATGTTGGAAGGAGTTGAACTATACAAAAGGTTTGTTGAAGATCACGAGGTGCAAAAGAATAAATAACCATTGGATTTAGTCTTTAAGAAGACCAAAACAATACTCTTAGAACATTAACATCAAAACATTAACATTAAAATTTAAAACAACACTCGTACTCATAGACCATCAAAAGAGTATAAACATTAACATCAAATAAAAGTAGAACTCAGTCATAGACCACCAAATGAGAATAAACAAAACAGCCATCACAACACTCATAGAAGTAGAAGTAAAACTCAAAACAGAACTCATAGGAGTAGGACTTAGAAAAGTAAAACTCAAAACAGAACTCATAGGAGTAGGACTTAGAAAAGAATGAATCATAAAATAGAGAACTTACAATATAAAAACAGAGGAGGAGGAATGGAAGAGATGGGGGCCGGAGAGAGGCGAAAGGAGGGGTGCCAGCCAGAGAGAGACAGGCGAACGGAGGAGGAGCTGGAGGGAACAGTGGAGTTGAACGATTAGGGCAGAGAGAAGTGGAAGTGTCTGAAGCAGTTAGGGCAGAAAGAAGACGAAGTGTCTAAACTCTGAAGCAGCGTGAAAACGAAAAAATAGAGAGAAATGCTGTTTTAACGTTTTAAAATTTAAGGCCAAAAACGTAATTTTGCTTAAAAAAAAAAGTATAACCAAGTTTTGATTGAAAAATTTGAAATTCGGGACAAGATTGATCCTATAGAATTTGGTGAAATTAAGTATCATACTCAATGGTTGGTGGAAGAGATGAGAGAGATAGGAGAAGATGGCGAACCTTTAGAAGAAGATTTGGTTCATGAAAATGATGATTTAACTTGGGTTCAAGTTGTCGAAGCAAGTGAGGTTAATGAGCCTGTAATTTACACTAGGAGGTCAAGGCTACTTGAAGTTGCAAGTACATCTAGGGCACAACCCGTGGTGGTAGAAGATGTTGAAGAAGATGATGATGAAAATGAAGTATTGGAGGAATATTTTGATGATATATGAAGAATACATCTTTGATGATGATCTTTGATTTTTATGTTTGCTTGAATTTTCATATAATAGTTCTAAGTTTGAATTTTAAGATGTGATGTTTTGAATCTTCTATAATATTTTGAATCTTGATTAAGCATTGTTCTTTGACATTAGATTTTATAAATCTTTTAAGTGTTGTGTTATTTGTTAAGTTTTACATTAATTATATGACATATGTTTTATAGATTATTATATAATTATTAGTACAAAAACTTATCCTGCTATCTGCTATCCCGCTATTCTATTTTTTGGGTCGGCGCTCCGCTCTGCAATCTGCTATTAATAACTCTAGATTGGACCAATTGTTAGGAACCCGAAATTAAGAGAGAAAATGAGATTATATTATTAACTGAAAAAGGAAAATATTAATCCATATAATTCTAGAACAAAGCTCTTCAAAGGAAGAAGAAACTCTCCCTTTGTCCAACTCTAAGGGTCTGTTTGGTTCAAATGAGGGGGAGGGGAGGGGAGGGATTTTAATGAAGGGGAGGGGAGGGGAGGGGAGGTGAAGAAATTTTTTAATCAAATAAGTGTTTGGTTCAAAAGAGTGGAGGGGAGGGATTTTAATTAAAAATGTGTTTGGTTCAGAAGGGGAGGAGAGGGGTTTTATTAATAATTTACATTTTTATCCTTATGATTTTATATAAGTCATATGATATTAAAATGTGAAAAATTCGTGCGTATTTTTGTTGGTAATAAAATTTCTAATATTGAGTGATTAAAAAAATATTTATTTGTCACATAAAGTTAAAAAAATTGAGTAAAATCGATTCGACTTATAACTTTCCAACATAAATTAAACTATATGTCAATAACATCGTTTAAATTATGATGAATCATATAACAAAACAAATATATAAAATAACTTATTACTAAATATTAATGGTTCAAAATATTTAATAAAATGAATAAACAAAAATAAATAAAATGATATGGTTTACAATTTGATATAAAAGAAAATATGATAGAGTACATAACAAAATTAAAAGAAAAAAAACGAATATAACGAAACATAATTTTTTTTATAAAAAAAGACAATGATTATGATTTATATTAATTATAAAAATTATAAAATAATTTGAAGGTGGAGAACAATTATAATAAGTTGATGAAAACAATCGAGAAAAAACAGTAACACAAAAGATAACAAATAGTTTTGAAATAATAAAATTAAACTGAGGATATTTTAGTAAATATAATAATTTTTAAATATCAAAATTCATATTCGCTCCCCTCCCCTCCAAATCCCTCCAATTCGGAGGGAACCAAAAAGTGTGTTTTGGAGGGATTTTGCTCCCCTCCCCTCCCCTCCCCTCCTAAAATTTGAACCAAACATATTTAATTAAAAATTTCCCCTCCCCTCCCCTCCCCTCCATCTACCCCGAACCAAACACACCCTAAGGTTCTAATACAAAATGATACTGAATGCCCCCCACTATTTCCCTCACACACCTCATATAATCCTCTCAACGTGTACTTTCCTTCACTATCTCTAACCAACTCCCCCACTCTCTAATAACTTCCCCGACTCATAACTCCTATCCATTTGGGCCTTTCTCCTAATAGGTCCCATCAGATGCTCATTATTGATTTCCTTACACCCTGTGCTATTCTACTCCTTAATGCATTGGGAATGATAATAAGCCGAGGTAAACTAACCGGGTAAGAGGCAACATATTTGCTCCACTAGAAAATGAGGCAAGATGCCAGTATATGCCACAAAAGCAAACCATTCGCTTGTCCTTTCGACTTAGTAAAACTATTGTGCAAATTTGGTAAGTGTGATCGAATCCTGAAGGCTTCTTGGTCCATGATGGATGAAACTCCTAGAGTAGCCATGAAATCCACATGGATGTGGCCAACAACACTTGTTTGTAGGTATGAAAATATCTTCGTTTTTCTCCTAGGATTAGTTTCTTTGTCATTATCACAATTAGTCCTTAACCTTTTTCCATCAAACCATAATCATAAATTATAATCATAATTTGAAGTCTTTGTTCTTTCTTTTCCTCCTTATTTAAAACCTTATAACATCAAAGTGACATTAGATTAGTACCATCCTGTGACATATTTAAGCCAATTTTTTTTGAAGGTCTATTCTCATTAGTCTTACGCACATTTCAGCCCTCTTATCTTATGTTTTCTGTTTGAGTTCAGAATCTCTTTTTTTGTGTCATTTTTCTAGCTTGTTTAGAATCTGTGCTCGGTTGTATCATCTTTCCATTGTGTTTGATATCTATCAGTTTTAGTTTTGCACCATTGTCTCAAATGCATTTTTGCACTGTTTTTGTCTCAGGTGCAGTTATATCTTGGTTGTGATTAGGCACCATTGTTTTTATCCAAATTATAGTCTGGCCCCAACTTATACTAACTGAAATTTGGTCCACTCTCTTGTTCTAGACATGATTTGGCCTTGGCATCTTCACTATCGAATGTATGATTTGATTATTTTTCTCTTTCAAATCATACATTTATAACAACCTTAAGCTTGGTAAGCTTTAACTCGAGGGAGAGTGTTTGAAGATTTGAAAATATCTTTTGATGTCTTACTATTGTGTTACTGTATCTTTTGATATCTATCGAATGTGGGTTCATAGTAAATCCCCCGCCTTGGGTAGGATGTGACTGAGAGTCCGAGACAGTCACCCCGCCTCTCCCTGAAACTTCACCTTTTCAGATGTGGCTGGCATAGCAATATATTGATAGAAAACGCTAGCATGGATGTGAATCACTCTTTTTGCAACTGCGTCTCCCATGTTCTACTGTATACCAACATGTTGATAGAAAACACTAGCATGGATTTCCATGGGAAAGGATGCAGGACGGCATTCATAGCACGATGAAATGTGTCTGGTAAATGGTCGATCTGAATGGATGTTAGTAAAATCAAGGATGTAGTAATAATCCCTTGACGGCCCTATATTTATTAATAGTCCTAATAATAACCATTCCTTTTTCTTTCTGGTACACACCTTGCATTCTTTTTCCCTCAAAGCATGACCTAGTAAAAGCACCAACATTTGAAAACAGCGGTGCCGTGTCATTCATACCTGTGCTGGACTCATGCCTGTGTAATAATTAGATAAGTGACATGACAACCTTTTATCATATTTAGAATTTATAATGACTCGTGCAACTTTTAACACATTGGACTTCTCTTTCAATTTTAGATGTGTTTTTGTATCAACTTTATGCTAATTTTACCTATTGGTTTTTCCAGTAGTGATGTGCTCTATTTTGTAAAAAACTCTATCCATATCTCAAGTTGTATCTTTGCTTTCTAGTTTGCAGCTGGCCAAATCAGTTTGTGGCCATTGTGTTACGATTTTGCTTATGTCTTATACCGTTTTGCTTTCTTGAGTAATTTAATTTTTCACTTCTGCTCTATAACTTTCTTGCGTTACACGCGTGTGTATAATGAGATACACATTACTGCACTAGTCTGGTTTTTCTTGTGAAAATCATAAATCTATAACGGATTTTTTATGTTTCCTTTAGCAGATTGGACATCATCCTGATTTTGATAGCACTAGGTGCTTGTTCATAGTGCGAAAAGATGGAGAGAGGGTTGATTTTTCTTATTGGAAATGCATTAAGGGTTTGGTCAGGAGGAACGCAGAAAAAACGAGCCGTCATATGTTCGAAGAATAATATGAGTTGGAACTAGTCAAAACATATTGACATAAATTCTTAGCCGTTAAGAAAAGGGTACAAAGTGGATATATTTTCATAGAATATTTAAGGATAAACTCTATGATAGTAGATCTTCTTACAATAGGTCTTCCATCCAAAATCTTTCATGGGCACACTGCTCACATGGGTGTTTTATGGTTTGAGAAATCTTTGGTTTTGTGGAAGTTAGTCATTTATGAATTTTGTGTTTTATGTTTGGTATTATATATGTACTACCGTTCAGACGGGCACTCGCGTGCCCGTCTGTCCGCTTTTTTATTGTACACATATAAATATAAATGATATATTTTTATTTAATATTAATTTTACATGGAAGTTATGTGGGAAGTTAGTAATAGAGAGTTATATGAAAGATGATAGTAGTAGTTCAATGGAAGTTATTGTGTAAGTTCTATATTTTAAAATAAGGGTAAATTTGGTATAAAGAAAAGCTATACCAAAAACCAAGTATTGCCTTTATATATGTTATAGATATATGTTATATAGATTATAGATACTCTAATTTTGGATTTTTTTTCAATTAATAAAGTTTAATATTCAACTAGTTATGATCTCATTAAAATAAAGTAAGACTAATTGAAAATTGACACGAGCATACCAAATTCATGTGATTTTCATGTTACACATTTCATGATGAATATGTGTCATTTTATTATGTCAATATGAGTGATCTTTGATGGGTTTAGTTATGATTGATAATAACAAAAATCACTTTGGTTCTGTATATTGTTGTTCGTCGTGAAAATTGGTGAACAACCACCGGTCTTCTAAATTGAAAAAGATTTGTTTTACTTGCAGGATCGACCACACAAATCTCAGGACATGTGCTAATTGATCTTAAACAAAGTTTAAAAAGACGATGAACATTTTGACAGAGTTCATGATAAAATAACTTATTTCAAGTGTAAATGGAATTGAACATGAAGGAGTAAAATCGAAGTGCTAGTAAACGATGAAGACAATAACTTGCATAAAGAAAAGATAAATTTTTAATGAAAAAGATTTATTAAATTGCATTGAAATAGAAAAATGATGTTACATCAACGTACATTCTCACAACCCGTTTCTCTACACACGGGTACTCAGAGTATACTGAAGAATTTGTACACAATTTAACACACACAAATCCTAACACTAAGACTTGCTATTTATACTAATCGAAAATAACAGTCATTAACGACTAGCAAACTAAATCGAGACAAGTGGCGCTCTGCATGTCTTCGATTCTTAGAAGCGCTCCACGTGTCTTCTTTGAGAAACGGATAAGAACGAACTTTCCCTCATTTATTTGAATTCAAATCTTTCAGTTGAAATGCTTTCAATTTGTCAGCTTGTCGGGCTATTTGGCTGATGAATTTGCTGTAAGAATTGAAGTCCAACGAGAGCAAACCAGTCAGATTGATGACTAACAATAAATATTCCACAAGTCTTGCTAAGAATCCAGTGCTGCATGGAAGAAGCAATCACATTGATACTAAGTACCATTTTCTGTACAATCAGGTTAAAAATGAAGTACTTGAGATTGTTCATGTCAGCACTCATAAGCAACTTACAAATATGATGAGCAAAATAATAAAAACTGAACATTTCATCAATTTAGGGATGAAATTAAGCGGCGTTGAATTTTTAACTTAAATGTGAATTAAGGGATGGTGTTGAATGTAATTCAACATTCAAGTTAGTTTAATTTTGAATTTCATTTACATTTAAAATTGAATTTACATTTAATGTGCATTTGAGGTTGAGTTATTATAAAATCCAAATTTAATTATTGTAACCTATTTTTCAAATTTTGCATTAAAAAAAAGTTAAATTTTCCTTCTCTTTCTCTACAACTTTTCATCATCTTTTTATGTGCATTGTTAATATAAGTTTAATTTTGAACTCTAACAAAAATTTCATAAATTAAAAAAATTTAATTGGATTATAAACAACAAAAATATTTTAGCTTAATATTTTTCTTGTTTTTTGGTTAATGCAATTGCTTTATCATTTTTAAAGTAATCCAATAAAATAGTAAAATGTTTTCCTTGAAATTAAAAACCGAAAATATATTCTAAAAATAAATAATAATAATAATAATCGGAGAGACGCAAGAAGGCCACGTAGCTGGCTTGTTTATCCGTGAACGTTTGCAATTGCCAAGAATGCGAGGGAGGGAATCAACCCTCTCCACCTCGCACAATTTTGATAACACAATATCGAAGAAAAGAATCAAAATAAAAACAATGTTAACTATAAACAATTCATTCCGTTGAGTCTTATTGACCTTTGATAAATTGTTATGGCTTCTTTACTAACCAACTTAAAAACACCACTTCACTTTCACTTCTTCAAAACCCCTTTCTCTTTTCGATTCATTCCATCCCTTTCTTACCGCTCCAACAACCCAAGCTTGTTTCATTCTTCTATCTCTTCCCTCAAAGCTGCCGTCGCTGCTTCCGATTCTGCTGCTGACAATTTGATCGAGAAGCCTGTGAAGGAACATTGCTATGATGAACAACAGCAGCAAGATAGTAACTCTGAAGAACAAGAAGAAGATAGGTGGGTTGATTGGGAAGATGAGATTTTACAACATACTGTTCCTTTGATTGGCTTTGTCAAAATGATTCTTCATTCTGGACTGTAAGTTTCTAAGGATTTTGTATTTTGTTTTATTAAATTTTTATTAATTGTTTTTATCTTGCTACTTACGACATGAAATTTGGTATCTGAACTTATTGAGAATTTTTTTTCTAATACCTTGTTGTGATTTCGTGCACTAGATATGCAAATGGAGATAGAATAAGTTCAGAGCATGAGAAGGCTATTGTTGAAAACTTACTTTTATTTCATCCGGAATTTCACGAAAAGATTGGTTGCGGAATCGATTATATAACGGTATATCTTTCTTTCCCTCTCACAAATAGCATGTACATTATTCCACCGGGAAAAGGCTTTTCTGATATTACTGTTTTTAGTACAATAAAAGTAATCTTTTTCGGATTTAGCAATCTATCAGATTAATCACAGCCTCGGTAGTTGTCTACTGCTCATGATTGCGGGTTTTTCCACCATAATCCGCAATAACGGCGCCGCAAAGTGGCCGGTATGGCGGGATTTTGGCTCTCCGCCATGGACCGCCATCCGCCATCAACAACAATGATCTTTTCCATCAAACCATAATCATCAATCATACCAAATAGTAGTCATAACTCAATGTCTTTGTTCTTACTTTTGCTCCTTATTTGAAACCTTACAACATCAAAATGGCACCAAATTAGTACCATCCTTTGTGACCTATTTAGTCAGTTTCTGCTGTTGAGTTTTCTAAAGTTTTAAGCCATTTATTTTTTTGAAACTCTATTCTTCTCATTAGTCGTACAGCATGCACATTTCAGCTGTCTTAAGTTTTCTGTTTGGTTTGTGTTTTTAAGCTCTGTCTGTCTAGCGTGTTTAGGTTCTCTCTAAAAACCATGACATCTATCTAGTGTGTTCAGAATCACTTTTTTGTGTCATTTTTATAGCATGTTTAGAATCTCTGCTCTGCTGTATCATCTTTCCGGTATGTTTGAGATCTATCAGTTTTAGTTTTGCACAGTTGTCTCAAATGCTTTTTTGCACTGTTTTGTCTCAGGTGCTGTTTTGTCTTGGTTGTGATTAGGCACCATTGTTTTTATCCCAATTGTGGTCTGGCCCCAACTTTTTCTAATTGAAATTTGGTCCACTCTCTTGTTCTAGACATGATTTGGCCTTGCCATCTTCACTATCAAATGTATGATTTTATTATTTTTCTCTTTCAAACCTTACATTTATATCAACCTTAAGCTTGGTAAGCTTTTACTCGAGGGAGTGTTTGAAGATTTGAAAACATCTTTTGATATCTTAAGATTGTTCTTCGGTGATAATAACTTCAAAGTCTTTGTGCTTTCTTTTCCCTCCTTATCTAAAATCTTATAGCTTTAACTACATTAAAAAACCGTTGTAAGTTGCAAGACAACCTATTCTGCTCCAAATTATGGCGGGGGATGAGAGTTAAGACCCTTCTCTAGATCACCGAAGATCCTTTTCAATTCTAGGTTTACCTTGACTTCCTCCAGAATAGGAGAATAATCCGGCCAAAGAGTTTAGTAATAGCCTGAAGGTCAACCTCCTTACCGTCCCTTAAGAAAAGAATCAACCATCCTATTAAAATAGCCAACCTGGTACACAATGTCAAATTCAACCCACTAACTGACAAACCAGTTTCTCTGATTTGGTGTACTAACTTCTTCTATCTGTTCCCATCTCTCTCACAAGGACAGGACTCCCGAGTATCATTCTCCCGTTTCACCATAAGGTGGTCCGAGATTGACTTCAATTTAGTGAAGGTAAAATGCCAATGAAGTACCTGTGACAGTCCTTCAAATCTTAAGTAGAAGTTTGAGAATTCGCTGAGGCGTTGACTCATAAAATGCGAATCATCATTCATCACCCAAGCAAATATGACCATCAGATGCCAATGTTGTATTGCTTTGACCAAGGCCATCAACTCATTCTCATACATGATACTCCTACTTGGACAAGGAGGATTGAGGTATCACTGCTGGAAATTGCTATTGGCCGCTTACCCTGAGTAATGAGTTTAACGACTGTGCCTAAACCTCGCCCTGTGCATCACACTCTATGGAGAATGGTGGTGAGAATTTTGGCATAGCCAACACTGGAGGTGTAGTGATAGCTTGCAACTATCCTGAAATGTTGTCTCTGCTACCTCAGTATACTCAAAAGCATGTTTCTCCAACAATCATGGCATAGGCTGAGCAATTTTTCAAGAATCACATACATCTGATATTGATATTAGCCTGTCAAGCCCAATAATCCACGATAAAGCTTTTACTGTTCTTGGCCAGATCAGATTGGAGTTTGCTCTAATGTGGATCCATAATAACCCCCACTTGGCTGCTATACCTGTTTTGCTTTCTTGAGTAGTCTAATTGTTCACTTCTGCTCTCTAACATTTGTGTTGCACGCACGTGTATAATGAAATATGCATTACTGCACTCGTTAAAGATCTATCTGTTCTGATTATAATTTATAATGATTTTTTATGTTTCATGTGGCAGATTGGATATCATCCTGATTTTGATACTTCTAGGTGTATGTTCATAGTGCGAAAAGATGGAGAGATGGTTGATTTTTCATATTGGAAATGTATAAAGGGTTTGATCAGGAAGAACTATCCATTATATGCAGACAATTTCATTCTCAGGCACTTCAGGAACCGGAGTCGAAGTTTTTCAAAATAATATCTTCTGATTGTTGTACCATTTTATGTTCCATTTTTTGTGTTCTCTTATTGCTGATAGCTAGCATACTATTTTAGTAGTATGGAAATAAAAACTACAGAAATTTATGGAGTTCACTGATAATCGCCATCACGCTGGATATTGAATCCATTTTATTATTGACAATATGTTTGCAGTGATTTAAAATTATGGGAACATAGATTTTGTATATAGACCTTGATGACATTGTTCCTTTCAGTTAATTTAAAGAAATTGAAGTTTAGTTTATTTTTAATATACCATTGCTGTCATGTTGTTTAGGAAGATAAGTTACTATTCATGAACTTCAATGATGATTTGTGTAGTCTTATTCATTTAGACAACTTACCACCTCTTTCCCATATTTATAAGTTATTTTGTCAAAAAAAATTGTCTTAAATTATAAGTCATTTAACATTTTCAATGCAATATTAATGATATTTTTTTCACTATATTTTTAAATATTTATTATGATGACGTTTAGAATGAGGGAGCTATTAAATATCTCACCGGTGAATCACAAAAATAACCAATAGATAAGATGAATGATTTAGATTCAATCTAATAAACGTGAAGATACACAACATGATTCAGATGGAATTAAAATTTTAAGATAATTTCTTATTTTTAGTAAGATTTTAAAATAAATTAAAATTAATTTTTCTTTAAAATCAAATCAATTCTATTTCTAAACTAACATAATATTTTTATTCTACTTTGTTAGTTTTATGATTGACAACAATTTTGGTAAAACTTGGTGTTATCACAAGATATCCTATATGATGTCTTGACATGAGATCTTAACATTTTGTAGGTGGTTCTTTTTGTTGATGTAGGGTTTAGTTCATGATGTCAAGTATGATGTCCTGACATATGTTTACAGAACATTCAATCAAAATGTTATGTTTTGTCTGTTGCGTTTTTTCTGCAGTCTTTTGTGTGCCTTTGTTAAGTGATTGCTTGCGCAAATCAAGACGTGACATTATTTGAAGCAAGTATATTCTGTTTTCTTTTGAAGAATGGTTTGTTGCTATTTTTGTGTAAAAAGATATGGAGAATAATTAGCTTTAATTATGAATTACTTTTGTCCAAGCCCATGAAGAATGGTTTCTATTTAAAGACGTGTTAACCCTACTTGCAAGGTGGAAAGAAGATTTTGAGAAAGCTGCGTTTTTTCTTTTGTTAGGGTTTGAGTCTTTTGTTAGTTGTTTTCTTGTGAGCCATTCATTCATCACTTTGATGTGTGAATTGGACCGAGTTCTTTGAGTTGTAAGTTGTCACTCTAAGCTTTTAAACACGAGCGAATTGTTCTTAATTGAAGCTTTTAAGAAAGATCAAGTGTTGTCCTTGAAGTGTGTCTTCTACTTTTTGATCTTCTGTTTTTTATCACTACATGTGATTGAGGGGGAGTGAGAGGTGTCTCATATCTGAGAGTGTCTTAGATAGAAGTTACACAGGTAGATATTAGGTGCGAAGAATGTAAACTAGAGAGAGTTTGCTGAGGGTCTTCAAACTAATTATGTTTAGTGGATTTCCTTCCTGACTTGGTAGCCCCCAGACGTAGGTGTGTTTGCACCGAACTGGGTTAACAATTGCTTGTGTCTCTTTACAATTGTTAACTGCATTTTATCTTGTTCATATGTTGGTAACTGTTCAGATATTAGTGTCGTGACATTGTTAGAACACAGATAGGTGTTTAATTATATCTCTATGTTTTAATGATAACACTAATGAAATTTTGTATTAGGAAAATATATACTCAAATTTTGTTCAAGTATTCTTGTTTCAGATATTAATTTTAATACTCTTAAGGAAGCAAAAATGCATCTGAGCGCTCTCTACGCTAAGCATCTGAAGCATCAGAAGCATGTCATCAGAAGGCTCTGAGCGCTGCCAGAAGACTTTGAAGCAGAAGCTGTAGAAGCATCTGAAGCGTAGCTACAAGACTTTGTATGAGAAGTTTACAAGCATTGTGTATCAGAAGACTCTGAATGTACTGTTCCCTGCAAGTACAGAGGCTCTGATCTCCAAACTCTACTATGAGTAATTTACACGCTGAAGCACATTTGCTGCAACACTCTGATCTAGCACACTCTGAGTAATTTACACGCTGAAGCACACTCTGATCTAGCAAAAATCTGAGAACATCAAGACTCTGATCACTCAAGGCTCTGATGTTGATAACTGTGAGATAGAAGCTTGTTGAAGAAGATATTATTCAAAGATATATCTGTTGGCATATTCCCAACAACTCTTTCCTCTTTTGTGAAAGACACAAGAATACAGGCAAAAAGGATTTCTCTTAACGTTCTACTTCTAGGAAATGTCAAGTCAGTAGAAGACAAAAGGCCACAGCTACTTTGCAGTACACGGTCTCCAAGCTTGCAACGTCTTGAACTTCTTTGGCTATAAAAGAAAGACTTCAACAACATTCTACAGTTGACGAATATTGACGAATTACTGAACAATTATTCAAACTCTCTCAAAGCTCTCTTACAAATGTTATTTCATTTGATTGAATAGTTTCATTCGTTCTTAATCTTAAGTGTAAATCACAGTTGTGATACAACTTTTTAGAAGCATTATTAAACACTTGTTAGTTTACATTTTATTATAAAAGGTTCCTTGAGAAGACCAAGTTGTGGTCAGGATTTCTTGAGAAGAATAAGACAGTTGTTCTTAGTGGTTTAACACTGTAATCAGTTTGACTATAGTGGATTAAGTCCTTGTGGAGAAAGGAAATTCATCTAAGTGTTTTTCCCACCTTCAGTTGGTATCAGAGCTCCAGCTCTGTAGTGCTAATCACTTAACAATGAAAGAGAAAAGATTCGTGGGAAAACTCTTGATATCTTTTGGTTGATTCATTATGGCTGGTGAAACTTCAACATCCAACGACAAGTATGAAGACAAAGACAGAATCAGCACAAAACCTCCCATGTTTGATGGTGAGAAATTTGACTACTGGAAAGACAAAATTGAAAGCTTCTTTCTGGGATATGATGCTGATCTTTGGGACTTAGTCATTGATGGTTATGTTCACCCCACTGATGGGGATGGAAAAAAGATTGATAGGAAATCAATGACTGAAGCTCAAAAGAAAGAGTTCAAGAATCATCACAAGGCTAGAACCATTCTATTAAATTCTATCTCTCATACTGAGTATGAGAAAATTACTAACAGAGAAACTGCATTTGGTATGTTTGAGTCCTTAAAGATGACTCATGAAGGGAACTCCCAAGTTAAAGAGACAAAGGCTCTGGCGTTGATCCAGAAATATGAAGCCTTCAGAATGGAAGAAATTGAATCTGTAGAAGCCATGTTCTCCAGATTCCAGATACTCACAGCTGGACTAAAGGTTCTGGACAAAGGTTATTCAACTGCTGATCACGTGAAAAAGATCATCAGAAGTTTACCAACCAGATGGAGACCTATGGTCACTGCTCTGAAGCTGGCGAAGGATCTGAACAAGATCACTCTTGAAGAACTAATCAGCTCCTTGAGGAGTCATGAGATTGAACTTGAAGAAGACGAACCTTAGAATAAAGGTAAGTCTGTTGCTTTAAAATCTAACAAATCTGTTAAAGCATTGCAGGTAATAGAAGAAAGTTATGAAGAATCTTCTTCTGAAGAAGAAGATGAGGTGTCCATGCTGTCCAGAAGAATCAACAAACTATGGAAGCATAAAGGAAAGAAGTTCAGAAACTTCAGAAAGCCAGATCAACGTAAAGAGTCTTCTAGACACAAAAGATCTGGAAAGAAAGAGGTTGTCTGCTATGAATGCAAGGAACCTGGGCACTACAAGAATGAATGCCCAAAACTTCTGAAAGAAAAGCCAAAAAGGAAGTTTGACAAAAAGAAGAAGGTTCTGATGGCAACCTGGGATGATTCAGATGAATCTGAATCTTCATCAAAATCAAAAGAAGAGTGTGCAAACATGGCACTCATGGTAGATGTAGAAGACCAGGATGAAGGAACATCAGGATCTGAAGCTGAATCAGAATCTAATTCTGAAGAGGTATTTTCTGAACTTTCCAGAACAGAACTTATTGAAAGTTTATCTGAAATGTTAGAAAACTACCGTAAGATTAAGCTCAAATACAAGAAGCTTAAACGCAATCTTGAATCTGAGAATAATCTGCTAAAGTCAGAAGTTGCTGAGCTCAAAGAAAACAATTTAAAAATGAAAAATGATTTTGAAAAAGCTCAACAAGACTCTGATTCTGAAACTAAGTCAAAATGCAAAAATATTTTAGAAGAGTATGACTATAGCTTTCAGAAGTTTCTGGCTAAAAGCATAGATAGAAGCAAGATGGATTTAATGATCTATGGGGTTAGCAGAAATAACAAGAAAAGAATTGGATATAAATCTTCCTCTAGAAAGGATTTAAATCCAATACCTGTTGATAAACTTATCATTAAGAAGACTCCATTATATTCTCATTTCAAGTTTGGTCATCTGAATGATATTAAACACACACGTTCTGATCAGAATATTCCTGTGTTTAAACCTAGAGTTAGTCAGAACAAACCTGTTATTAAAAGACAGAAGTTCAGACAAGCTTTTAAGGCAACTAACCCAAAAGGACCCAAAAAGATCTAGGTACCTAAAGATAAGATAATACCTGTTGCAGATGTATTTAGAAGCAAAGTAAGGACGCCAATCATGGTACCTGGACTTTGGATGCTCACGTCACATGACGGGAGAAAGGTCTATATTCCAAAGCCTGGAGCTTAGATCTGGAGGAGACGTCAAGTTTGGAGGGAATTAGAAGGGCAAGATAATTGGCTCTGGTACTCTTGGCAATGATAACCTTCCTTCCGTATCTAATGTCTTACTTGTAGAAGGATTAAAACATAACTTATTGTCCATAAGTCAATTAAGTGACAATGGTTATGACATAATCTTCAATCAAAAATGTTGCAAAGCTGTTAGTCAAAAGGATGGCTCAGTTATCTTTAATGGAAAAGGGAAGAACAACATT